GATGCCCAGGGACCTCTCCAGTCCCAGAGGAGCTCAATCAACAGCTGAATTAGCTTTGAAAAACTAAACAGCCTGGCTCCCCTCACGGCCTGTGTTCAGCACCCCCATCAGACCACAGAGAGATGCCCGAATTCAGACATCACTCAGGAGTCTCTTTCATGAGAAAAACATGTCTCTTCTGAACACAAGAGGCCAATGGACACTTGGTGAGAAGCTGATGTGAATGACTATTCCTTACCCCTCATGCTAGGTAAACAATGTTGGCAGGTTAACAGAACACTGACCCCCCACCCCCATCCCACCCCCACGTGGTCAGTCAGTTCGTGTCCACTGAGAGGGCAATGCCACCCTCAGCTCACAGCGGTCTCCACTTACTTTCTTGTGACTTCTGAGCACTGAAGGCGTGACGAAGGCCTTCCCGCAGAGCTCACACCTGTATTTCTTGTGTCGTTCGTGGACCACCTGGACGTGAACATTCAAGGTGTCCTTCCTCTTAAAGGTGGCATCACAGTGGTGACACTTGAAAGTCCTCTCGCCTTAGAGGCAAAAATAGACAATCAGGAGATGCAGCAGCAGAGTTCTCCTGCTGAGTTCTCCCCACGCCGCCAGATTTACTGTCGTTTGAGCCCGACAGCTAGCTTTACCGTCCTCATGATGTACCCTAACCACTGGTGCCAATTTTCTCCTACACACTTCATATCGTATCTGTTGATTCACTCTATGTGATGTCTTTCAACCTTCTTTTGTTCTCAGTCTCTTTAACCAGGAAATGTGGCAACTCGATGAGCGAATTTCCTAACGGTACTGTAAAAGCTTCTTGCCCACAATGGAGAGACAGGGCAGGGGCTGGGGTTTGGGAAGAAGGTTCTCGTGAACACAGAGGCCTCTGCCAGCAGTAAGAGTGTATGGGCCTTGCCGGAACGACCCAGGGTCCCAACGTTATCAGCCCGGGCTGCAGTGGACAGGGCGTGGGGAGAGCAAGCTAGGCGGGGGAAGGGTAGGTCCAGAGGAGAGCCCTCACAAGGACAGGCAGGTCAGAGGAGAGCCCTCACCCCATAAAAGGTCCCTATACCCCCATTCCTTCCTCAGCACCAGCAGGAATGTGGGCTGGAGTCTCCCTCACAGTCTGTGATTGGCTGTCAAACAGTGGAGAAGGGCCTGCCACTCTCAGAAAAGCCCATGGACTGAGGTGGAGGACCCAGAGAGCAGTGGGTTCTCACTGCTCACACAGCTCAGACCTGGGGGAAGCCATGAGGCTGAGAGATCGTCAAGTGCTCTTTAAACACCACTTGTATAATCTGTAGTTCTCACTTTCAAGGGTCCATTTTAAGCAACAAAATGTGCATTGGAGACGGTCCTGTCTCCAAGGAAGTGTAAAACCCACATGGCGTATATTTAATGCCGGTGACAGACTAGTTAGCATTTGAGTATATTTCCCCTTTAAAACAACAAGTACATTAGCAGCTTTGCATCTAATGGACACCAGAGACAAGATTTTCTACATCTAAGTTAGAGATCGCATTTCAATTCAAAGCCGTACTTCTCATTTTCCCCCATAAAAACTAGCATAAATTTAGAAGTGGGATGGGGATGACTGCTGGTAAGTGACAGATTTTATTTCATCAATGCGTAGTAATTCTTGATTAAAATAAAAAGGGAAGTCGCGCTAACCACTTCCCCAGACTAGCAGAGTAGTAGGTGAATATAAAATGACTTGATCATTGCTCTCTTTTTTTTTTTTTTTTTTTGTTACAAGTGTATTTGAGGGTCTCCCTGGTGGCACAAGAGGCTAAGTCTCAGCACTGTGAAGCTATCGCCAGCCACTGCAGCTCGAGTTTGACCCCCGGCCAGGGAGGTGACTCACATGGCGTGGCAGACTTCTCCTGACCCACCCGCTGCTCCCGTCAGCGGTGGATTTCAGTCAACCTGCCTGTTCTGCTCCTCACTCTGTCCCTTGTGAACCCTCTCAACCCACACCCCGCACACACTGGCTTGCACCCCAGTTCTTATCTGCATCAATAAATAAAACTCTTTTAAAAAACCACATTTGATCACAATCACTACTCTGTATTTGTAAAAGCTTTCATTTCTTTAATGATCTGCCTTTTAGATACTTCTATGTGACTGGAGAAGATGTCATCCCAGATTTTATCTGTGAAATCAATGGCCAAGATTAATTGTTCTGTTTTCTTCAGAAATATTAAAAACTTAAATAGCAACAGGGACTCGACATGTACTGATTAAACCTGAATTAAAAGCAAGCTATAGATTATCAGTGCTAGACTGGTTTTTCTTTTATTTTAGATAACAAGTGTCATAAATCTCCCTGATTACTTCAACGTCTGAGCAGAGACAGCACCTTAATACTGAGCTCAGCTCAGTCTCCTCCATCAAGTGCTGCCCTTCGGCTCTCAGGCACTCACTGTGCTGTGCGGAACCCAGCCCTGCCTCTAACTGCTACACACACCTGCATAGCTATCACTGTAGAAGTCAACCCCCCCAGTTCTACTCCCCAACCCCCACTCCTTTTACCCCCCTAAAAGAAGTCAGAGGCAGGTAGGGGGAAAAAAAAAAACACTGTCAGACCCCTGGGGCACCCCAGCATTATGGGGTCCCAAAGACGTCACTATATTTCTCTCAGTCCCAATTGTCTCAAGTTTCCTCCAATTAAGGGTTTAAATTAGATGTGTATTCTGAACCTTTTCACCTTTGTAAGGCAGCCTGTGAGCTACTAAATTCATGCCAGGTTCCCCATCTCTCAAGACAGACACAGCTTCCCTAATTATCACATTTAAAAAAGGACAAAAAAGGGTGTTCCCTGGTTACATCACAGCACCAGGAAGCTATCGCCAGCCATGCAGCACGAGGTGGACCCCCGGGCAGAGGGCTGACCCACATGGCACAGCAGACCTCTCCTGTCTCACCCGCTGCTCCCCTCAGCAATATATCTCAGTAGATCGCCTCTTCTACTCCCCACTGTCTCTGGTGAATCCTGTCATCACCTCCCAACACCTCTGGGCTATACCACAGTTCTTGTATGCATAAATAAATAAATCTTAAAAGTAAATAAAAAGCACAAAATGACAGCTTCATCATTTCAAAGATATCTTACTGAATGTAGAAAAAATGTTACTTTTCAAATTTAAATACAAAGAAATGGTGCAAAATGCAAAGTTCCATGGAATGATTCCTCTTATTGTGGGCAAATAAAGCCAGAATAAAGAAAGAGAGAGAGCTGCAGGGTAACTGATACAAGCTATGCAACGTCTATCGACTGACAGATTATGGGTAGATGGGGAAAAGCTCTGAAAAATCAGACTTTCCACTGCTTAACTGATGTGATGACCTCCCTTTTATGTATAATCATAATATCAAAAATATTCTGAGCAACCATCAGTTTACAACTGGATTGCCTTAGCCTCCTAAGGAGGCTGCCTGGTTCAGGCAAGTTGCCCCAGGGCGGGAAATCCCTCTGTCTCCTGAAACAGAAGGCAAGCCCCAGGAGAGATAAGACTCCAGGGCATAAAAACTCCTGGGAAGCTTCCTTGGTTTCTTTATATAAAAAAGCAAACCTCAGATAAGACTCCCAGGACATAAGGACTCATGGACAAATTTTAACCTTGACAACACAGATGTTTTTTGATAGACAACTGTACAACTTTCCCTTAATTTACTCCTTTTTAAAACCAGCACTAACTATGCTCTGCTAACCTTAAATTAGCCACTAGCTTTTCTTTAGACAATCACTCATAACATTGCTAACACAATTTATTACTACCCCAAGACCCTAACAACCTTTTGCTAACGAGCTCATCCCTTCCCAGACCCCTCTTCCTTTGAGTGATAACTAGACAGCTGTACACATGAAAATTATCACAAAAACGTATAATCTAGTATACCATAATATGTTAAGAGAAAAATGCTTTGTTCCCCTTGTCCTTGAGAACGTTTTATGGCGATCTTTCATTAACTTACCATATGCATTATTGCAATTGGCTACTTGCTACACAGTATAAATAAAGACCTGCTGAGGAAATGGCAGGAAGACTTGCACCCAATCCTGACTCCTGTGTCTTCCTCACATCCGCTCCTCTCTCCCTTTTGGAATCTCCGCTGGCTGATGCCTTCCCACCTTAGGGCCCTGCCTGTCTTGCGGCCAGACACCTCTATATTTGCGGCTGGTCTCCAACAGGTAACCCTCTGTTTACATTTACAAGCAGGTTATATCAGTATGCACAAGCCACTCAGGTGAGAAGAACAGAGATGCAAAAGCCACTCGGATGTGAGGAACAGAGTGAAAGAAGACTCTGTACTCACACAGGTGCCTAAGTTGCACTTACTGTTATGTATGAGGAGGTGTCTCTGCAAAGAAAACGGGGTTCGGAACAAAGCTTTGCACTCCTCACACTGGAACGGCCTCTCCTCAGAGTGGGTCTGCAGATAAAAGAAACTGAGTCAGGAGCGTCTGGGAGTAATGAGTTCCCCATAATACCTGGGGCCTGGCTCACGTGGCCAAGGGAAGAGGGAACAGAGACATTATCCTGTTTCTGACATTCTCCACCATAAAACCACCCACACATACACGCCGTGCTCACCAGAGAAAAACTACGCTGTCTGTAAATTTTCACATGGCTCACAAACTTGAGAAATTGTAGAGGACACAGTTCCCATCCTCTCAAAGTGTTAACCTTAATCCATACTGAGATTCCCCAGACTCTACTTTACAGAGGGAAATAATGTAATTTCATTGAAGACAGACTCTCCGTCACTGATAAGGTTATAATTACTGGCACAACATTTTCAACACAGAGAAAAACGGTTAAAAGGAAGGTTGTTTCCACTATGGAAAACTGCTTGGAGGTTCCTCAAACTGCTATACATGGAGCTTCCTACGACCCAGCAATCCCACTCCTAGGTATCTACCCAAAACACACAAAAACACTGATTGAAAGATACCTGCACCCCCATGTTTATTGCTGCTTTATTTACAATTGGAAAAAACATGGAAGCAGCCCAAATG